AACTCAAATTTAATTAGTATATTTATTTTATAACACAAGTCAGAACTTTAAAGTAGATCATGCACGACGCCCGTAATGTAAAAACTAGAAAAATCTTGTCTTTAACAAATTGAGCTTATCAATCTCAAATTTAATTGGTACTGCTTTATAGCACAAGCAATTTCCGAGTAGATCATGCATGACGCCCTTAATGTAAAAACTAGAAAAAATCTTGTCTTTAACAAATTGAGCTTGTCAATCTCAAATTTAATTGGTACGACTTCATAGTACAAGCAATTTCCGAGTAGATTATGCACGAGCTCTTAATGTTTTCACAGTAAAAAAAAATTTTTTGTGAAAAAATCAAACTCGAATTTAATTGCCATATTTGTTTTATAACACAAATAAAGTGGTCTGAACTAATCTTCTAAACTAAACTAGTCCCATGATCAATTTCTAGACTGGTCCAGGACAGGTTTTGTAAACCACGCAACCTTGTTAATCTTATTAATAAATAGACCTAACTTGTTAGGATTCTATCTGACATAGCGTATAATTTATTTCAAAGAGCGAAGTTAAATTATTTATTTCATAAACGGTATCCAATTATTTTTTTACAATGAATTAAGGAATAAGCAGATAAATTGTTCGGAATATGTCTTTGCTAAATTGTTACAGTATTCAAGATCATTCAAGGGAAGTTGACTGTTTTGTTAAATTTTATTATTCGTCATATACTCATTTCACATCTCTTACAAAGAACCTTAACATCAGCCTATCAAAAAGAATAACATACACGAAAATACCGGTGGAATAGGTAAACCTTTTTATTCATTATTTTATTTTTACTCATTCTTATTTAACTGTAGGCGTACGTATCTTTCTTTGATTAGCAAATGTAAATTACGATTTGCAATTCTTGGGCAAATATTACCGCATGATTTTTCGAAGCACTCTAAAGTTTCTATGTCCCACAGCTTTGCATTTTTCAGTCACATAGTGAGATTGATGAATTTTGACACATGGTGTGGACGCCTTCCCGATTGGCTATTTTTCTAGAATATATTAAAATTTATCAAACTGCACTTGTCTCATTTACGATCACCTTTTCAATGAAGTAATTACAGTTTGGGTAAATTTGCCATCGTTTCTAACAACGAAATCAGATCAAGAAACTAAATTTCTAAATTCGAGAAGTAAAAATTTTATTTGATAGTTTATGTATTTTATTCTATAAAACTGGATTAATTGCTTCTTTAGACTTTACGACTGTGTGCTCTATAGGCCAGTCAAGAACGTGTGCTCAATGGGCCGTTCTTTTCTTTTTATTTTAATTTTCCAGAAATATAAAACTATTTTCCGCAATTAGATGTTACAATTATAAACTGGATGTTGACGATTTATAGAAATATCTGACTGAGAAAAAGTAGGTGAAAGTAAAATTATGCTTTAAATAATTTCATTTATTTTTCTTCAAATATTTACTAACATTTTATTTCTTTTAAAAGTTTACAATGGAAGTTAATCGTGATGTTTATGATCTGATGGATTCACTTTAATTTGAATTGTTCTATTTGCTTTCATATGATGATATGTAATTTGATGCTATATTTTCAATAATACTATGTCTGATGAGGGTTTTTGTTATATTAAAACCTTAAATATTGAATAATTTTATTTGTTATTCATATATGTTATTTAATTTTTTGTTAGTTGGAGACTAAAAATAAAGTAAACAATGAAATAAATTCATTAAAAGAATCTTTGTATAAAGTGAAAAAACAAAATCAACATACTTTTCGAATTGTGCGGGTCGAATCTCGAACACATTTAACGGAGTACTTTTTCTTACATTTAATTCTAGTATACTTGCCTTAATACTCAGAAGTCGTTAAGTTCAAACTCATTTTACATAAATGCTCAACAAAAAGGATACTATGAAAAATAATTTTATTATATATATGTAACTTTATTTTATTCAATGTTTGCAAAAATCACAAAGTTTTATATTCATCCAAAAAAGATAAATTCACGCAATGGCGGCAATTAGCAAACATTTAAAAGGAAAATTTAGAAATATCAAATTCTTGATCGTTTGCATCTTTGGGATACTCATAAAAACGGGGTGCTCGAACTAAAGATGGAAACTTTTGTTCTCTATCTTCTCTATTTTCTTCGACTTCAACTATTTTTGGCTCAGAAGCATTTAAAGCATCTTCAAACGAATTGTATACTATTAAATTAGAGAATTCAGTTATTTATAAAAGTTTTAAAATTCACTTAGATACTTAAATAGTTTTACCTATATTGTTTGGGTGTGCATATGCACTTGGAATATTCGAACCACTTACAACATCTTCACATCCTTCACAAATTTCTTTAATTTCTTTACAGAGATCTGCTAATTGTCTAATATCTGGTAAATGAATTTAGAATTAGGAAAGTTATAATATAAATTTGAATTGCACAAGTTTTAATTTTACCTATTTCATTTGAATTAAACACTTCTTGTAATATAGAATAAGTTTTTTGAATAACATTATAATATCCTTCTAGTTCTGTTTTATTATCTTCATATCTTTCGGAAATGCGTTGTAATTCTTCTTTGAGTTCTTTGTTTTCAGTTTGAAATAAAATTTTATCATTTTCTAAACGTGTAGCTTTGGAAATTAGTGATTCAACTTGAATTTCCAATTCTGTAAGCTTAGAGTTCTCCGATTCATAATTTTTTGGGGAGATATCCTTTCTATACAATTGGCGTGATAAGAAAGTTTTACGTTCTTTAATTAATTTTTTAACTGTATGCTTTATTTCATTAATATTTTTTTTATCCAAACGAAGCATCATGTTAAACTTATTTTGAGTTTTCCGATTATGATTTTTGCGAGGCATTTTTTTATCAGTTCGAACTACTTGTTACTTGTTACTTTAAATATGATTTTTGTATCATTATTACGATTTGTCTTTAAACAGAATATTAGATTATCAATATGAATATAAATTATTATATTAATAAATGTACTACTTTTTAAACTAGCAGTACCACGTATTCGGATATTTTTGTTTATTAATTATTTAAATAAAGTAAATTGAAAATCATGTAATTTCTATATTACATAAAACTTAAGGTTTTATAAAGGCAATTTCTATAATTTTACATACATAAAATTTAAAATTAGAATAGTTTTATATTAGTGCCAAATTTGGAACAGTTTAAAAACCGGGTCATATTATCTCTTAGTCAATTGCCGTGACCCTATGACCGTTCGAATTTTTGATCTTTTTTTAGAGCATCAAGCAGATTTTCCACACCAGAAAAGATTGTTAGATCAATAAAAAAGCCATGTAATATATATAAATTCATATCAGATATGAATGTGATTAGACGCTTTGTGAAAGTGAATTATTTTAAATATTAGCAAAACAATGACTTGAACAAGAGTCAAAGCTAAATAACGTTAATGATTTATTCTTTTTTTGTCAAAACTTGACTTTTACCCAAAAGTCACGTGACCATTTAAGCAAGAAAACATTGGCTTACTCATACTTAACGAATACTTAAGTCAAATTTACGAATAAATGAATATAAGAAAAGTCAAAGATTTTCTATCATATTTTGCGGAATAAAGTAGTTACACGATTGATGAATTTTTTTTTATACAGCTCTGGTAGCTTAACTTTCTATGAAACAAGAGTAAATTTAACGGATGAATTAATACTTTCGCTTCGCCTTATAACATATTTGAATTCCCGTGAATCCCACAGCTTTTTTTTGCAATCTGATTGGCCGATTTACTAACATTCGAGACACGATTGGTTGATAATCATGTAACTATATCAGGTACAATAAATCTGAGTTTAAAACTTATTTATTTTTAATTTTTTGATATTTATTTTGCATTTGTTAAGTATTATTCCTGGCTTTCTTTTTCTACGTCTATTGTGTGAATTCACTTCAGAACTTTCTTTGGTACTTTCTTAGTGTTTTGCTCTGAAGAATTCACTGAGGAACCGATTGGTAACCATGTTGAATCGCTTGATTCTTCCACAGCGACCAGTTCATTTCTTAAGGGTGGCTGGCTGCTTGAGGATTCAATAGTAGTTTGTATAGAGGAACTAATAATTTGTTTGGGTAGATTACCTGTGGAGCTGGTAGTTACTAGTCTTAGTGTGAAATTGCGGTGCAGCCATATTGATCCACTTGATGCTTCTCGACACTCTGGTCTAACATCAATGACTGGTAGTCGCTGGTTGCTTGAGGGTGACTGGTTACTTAAGAAGCAAATCGTTTGTCTAGGGAAGCCAGTTATTTGTTCTGGCAAGTAACTTGTTGAGCCAGCTGTTATTAGTCTTGGATAATATTGGTAGTGATAAAAGAGATTATGTTCTGCTAGAAACCTTATTGAATTGCTTGATTCTTCTGTTTCATCCACTGGTTGACTCTCTGATATTATGTCGACAAGTGGCCGGCTACTTGTGCGTTGCTGATCTAGCCCTACTGCGACGACTGGCTGGTTGCATGAGGGTGACTGGTTGATTGAAGAGCCAGATGTTGTTTGCCTAGGGTTACCTGTAGAGTTAGCCACTATTTGTCTTGGTGGGTATCGGTTGCGATTAAAGAGATTACGATAATATTCTCTTTGTTGTGGGGTGTGGTGGTTGATATGTCTAGTTGATCGATTTCTTTGATAGGAATTACATATTTTACAAACATAATACCTTCTTCCACTTTTAGCTATTTTTTGGACGTAAAACATGTCATAGAAGGTCATATTCTGATAGTTGTTTTTATTCAAGTAAAAGAATTTATTTTTTATTCGAACAAAAAGAAAAGAAAGCAATATTTATACTTCTGCTTTGATATTATCTTACGTGTATCGTGTATCGTGTACATTTGGAGTAACTCATAAACTATAATATTTTTAAATTATAAAGTAAAATTTACGTGATAATATTTTTATTTTAACATATGCCAATTTTGGCTTAAACCTGGCTTTACTAATGTCAGATTTGGCTTAAAACAAGTTTTTGAAATTAATAATCTTGAAATACATTATTTATATTTGTTAAATCATAATTCAACAATTGAGATTTGTTAAAACTATTAGTGAGTGAGTTATCATTATATGTATGAA